GTTTTTTTGCCTTCTTGAATTTATGTCGGTTGCTAAATTTGAGTTGGTTGGTAAGCTTGATGGAATCGTACACCTAATGGTGTGTAATGTAAATATAATTTCCAAAGTTTAGTCCTTGAAAATGTTGAAAATAAATAATCTGTCCCTGCCTTATTCCTACGGTTTTCATTTATTTAAAAAATGAATATAGTAAAGTAACCAATGACCAGGACTTACTCCACCCCTTCCAGGAACCATGTAAAAGCACTTACTCCACATAAATTGGTAAGAGGCATTTAAAAAAAAAAAAACAAAAAAAAAAAAAAAACAACAACAACATGGATCCCTTGTAAAACGTTAAGAAGCGTTATTTATAAATATTAAAGGAAGTGGTTCATTCATAAGTGATTAACCCCACCCTGCCCCCATTCCCGAGGTATAGATTTTTTAAATTTATATAATTTCATGATATTTGGGGGGGGGGGGGGGGGTAGAAAGGGGGGGCTTGTCAGAAATTTATTTATGTTTTCGTTGTAAATAAAATACAGCTAGACAGATATAAAATTGATTTTACTGCTACAAGGTTCAATCTAAATGTATCTTAGTCTAGAGAAATGATAAACCGTTAACTTTAAATATGATTCCGACAATTTGTATTTTTATGCACCCCCCCCCCCCCAAAAAAAAAAAAACAAAATTGAAAGTATAATTTTGACTGTTCGACAGGAATCAAACAAAACATTTTTATTATTTGCCTTAACAATTTATTCCTTTTTTTTTATTGGGTAAAGACTTTTCCTTTAAAGAAAATTCTTGCTTCAGCAAAATTATCAATTTCTTTGTTAATGTTTTCAAAATCATTGAATAAAAAAGCAAAATCTGAAATATACACACATAACTTTTCTCTTTTTTTTGTGATACAGATAAAGGCAAACAGTAGGAGGAATTAAAAAGATTGAGTTTTCTGTTACATCCTCACTAAAAACTGGTTTTTAGGTGTGGATTTTTTTTCTACATGTAGCCTTTAAATAGAGATAAAATATACTTTTTCGTTCTTTAATTTTAGGATGGGGGTGTAAAGAGCGGTTTTTTTTCCCTAGTCAGATTATTTATTTTCCTGGTAGTGAAGGCCCGATTATTTATTTCCAAGATGATCCTGGACAGATTATTTATTTTCTGTTTCACCTTTTAAAACGTCTGAAGAGCCAAAACAAAAAAAAGGAATACGCCCAAACTCTATTTCGGGGGAAGGGGGGGGGGGGTGGAGGCACTTGTTTTGGTAATAATTTTTTAACCCATAGTATAATAATAATTCTTATTATAATATGGGTTAAAAAAAATTATTACCGAAACAAGTGCCTTTGGGTGGGGGTGGGGGTTGTAGCACTTATCAAGGATAGATTATTTATTTTCCTGTCAGTTAAGGACAGATTATTTATTTTCAACATTTTCAAGAACAGATTATTAGCTTCTAAAATCTATCACCCCCCCCCCCCCAATCAAATGGTCCTTCCTTTAATGACAGGAGTCAACTTACATCATTTCATTCAATATGAACTTGATACACTTGTACTTTGTTGTTGCCAAGTCTATTTTTTATCCAACTTTCAACTTCCAGTTTTGTATGATCATTTAGATGTAGCTTGAATCTAATTATTTAGGTAAAATCAAAAGCCTACTTCTCTCACATTATAGTGTGATCTTGTACATTTCGCCATTGTTCACACATCAAAATTACTCTTTTGCATCCAGGAAATAAACAAAGAGGTTAAAATTTGTATGCACATTAAATAAACAGAAAAAACACTTGATTTTACTTGAAATCCAGATATATGTTGAAAATGTAAACAACTTCCAGTCAGTTTTGTCCAATGATTTTTTTTATCTCTCACACTAAAGAGCTCACAATTATCAAAGGGAGATAATTCAATTTTTAAATGAATGTCTGCTATTTTAATCATAGATTTCTCATATTTATAAACTGAATACCAACAATGTTTTTAAATGCCTTTTAAAATCAGATGTCATACTTTTTATTTCTTTGAGTATCATGAATTGAAGTAGCCGCATTTCATTGAATAACATTCCCAAAAATTGCATATTTTCAAAAAAAATCAACTTTAGACACTGTTTCCATGGTAACTACTCAACATTCATATGATCTAACAATATTTTTTGGAGTAGTTTATGAGGTGGTAAATTCTAGCCAAATTTGAAAAAAATCTGTGACTATGCGTGCCACAAAAGTTTAAGTGGTTACAGAGAATGGCTATTAATTATTACAGATTTTATAGGAGTTGTGACATTATTTTTGGAACAACCCTCGTACATGTACATGTACATGTAATTATGTACATATTAGTTGCAATGAATGAGTTTTACGGAAGAGTTTTACAATCTCTCACTATCTCTCCCAATATCAGGATATCCCCATTTTCAACATTACTCGCATTGCCAGTCTCTTAAAGCTATATATGGCGTATCTGAGCTAAGAAACAATAAAAACACGAGACTGAGTGTAGATAAATATGATATATCTTATTTACGTGCAAATTAAAATTTTCACCGAATTTGAACTTGAATAACCTCGTGTTTCCATAGTTAAACTAATTTTGAACTGTGTCTGTTATTTAAATGCGGAGTCGGTAAATAAACCGGTTGTTGTTTTAAATTTCTTATATTTTTGAAACATGATTGATTTAAATTGGGTAATTTACAGGAAAGTCCTATCTTTATATAAAGTAATAAAACAAATAGAAAGATCTTTTAAAATTTAGTTAGTCTGAACTTATAAAAAATACGCCATAAATGACTTTAAAACATTGCGACGAATATTGCTAATTTTTAATTCTGAAGAAATGGGCGTGTCATTAGGGAACAATATATTGACGTTCAATAAGACCCAAACGTTCCATTTCAACGAAAAAAATTACTACTTCAATACCCATCATTGTATGTCAGAGGGCTTTCTTATAAATTTTATCTTTTCTGGCTCAGTTGTTGTATTTTTAAAACCATCGACCCTACTTTTGCCTTTTCTTTATTATATTATTATTTCCTCCTTCATTAGGGGCGTGGCTTTTTTTATTTGAACAGAACAATTGTAACGCAATTACCCAAGGTAAGTTAGTTGAAATTGGTTCTGTAGATCTAGAGGAGAAGAAAGAAATCAAAAATGAAAAAAAAAGAGGTAAATTCACGGGCGAGAGACGGACAAACTTCAATCAGAAAAGCTCACTTGAGCCTTTGGATAGGTGAACAAATTATTTAAATACCAAAGTTAATGCTGAAAGAAAATAAGATTTAAAAAAAAAAAAACAAAAAAAAAAAACAATGTCATACTTACATTTGATGAAAATTATATTTAATTGAAATAATTTTAATATTCATTGTGTACTCTTGCTAAGATATATGAAAAAAAAAAAACAAAATCAGTATGTTTACAAATCTATCTGCTGCTTGACTAATTTTGGCGGCCTCCAAATAATATTCCTTTTATCTCCCTTCCCTAACGAATCACCAGTTAAGGTTTTGCACAGAAACACAGGTATGTAGTACACAGTTACACAATCTGTACTATACTGAATGTTGGAGCTTCTGCTACCAGGTAAGGCATATTTATGTTATTCAACGGAAGTTAAAATAATAATCAAAAGCCAAGCTTATAATCTTTTTAGACTTAAAATATCTGTCAAGAAAGCTTCATTGAATGAATGCGTCATGCATTGCTTATAATCTGTTTCATAAGGTTGCAATGTGTCAAACTTTCAGTATTTCTTTTTAAAAAGATTTCCAGACACTTAACTCCTTTTGTTTTAGTTTTTTAACGTGCCGATATGTCTCTATGACTTATTTTTCACGTTGACAGAAATTGTAGTTATCCACATTTATTTCAATATATTCACTTCGTTCTAATTAATGACCATAGAATGTTGATTTCATAACCAAATTCATTAGTGCGTGTTTTTCATATATATTATTTACTGACTTTGTTTATAAGTTATTTGCAAATGTTTTACATTTTTGGCGAGAATGGTCTAAATCGGACAGACTGCATTTTGATCAATGTAACTTTTCATTTTCTCCTTAGGAATTATTATTTAATTTTGCAATTATCAAAAATACTACAGTCTCGCAAACTTTAAAATAATGTTTGTTTGCCCTTTCCCGACTCAGAATGAAAAAAATTTGGTCGGTAGGTAGGTGAGAACATTTTTTATTCTCAGAAAATTTCAATTACAATGCTAAATTTTTAAAATCTATTGTCTAGAATGCATAAAAAAATAATTGCTTCCTGGAGATTAAAATAAGTTTTGAGTCGGGCCATTTTTAAGCCAGTAGGTGGGGAGAAGGCAACCAAACATTTTTTAAAGATATTAAATGCATTGTTCTCCAACAAAACATCCACATAGCTACGGACCATATCAGGAAACGATTGGCCGGACAGACAGTCTCGCTTAACAAAATTTACACCTTTCATCTACATGTAGGTCATGTGTGGACAGTGTGTAGTATCAGAATTTTTCATGGCTTTCAGATTTAGAAGGCTTCAAAGGCTTTAATGACTTTGAAATGTAAACTATATCACATCTGAGATCAGGTGAGCCGCTTAAGTGAATAAAATCATCTACAGAATTTCACTAAAGGGTGTATAAATATATTTATTGTAGGATAGCCATTTTTTTTTTGTTGACTTTGAATTTAAATGTGTGCGATTTTTTTTTCAATTCTTTTCCTGGTGTCTGGTTTAGCTGCTTTTCTTTTCGTCCAAACGCTCGGGAAAAATGTATAATATTCTTAAAAGGATTTAGAATGATTTTATACTATGATTATTGATGTCCTTCAATGAAAATTGAACGCAAAAAAATATTCTCATGAAATTTACATACGAAGGATTTTTTTATTTAACTATTTTGCAAGTGATTCAGTAAAATATCTACAAAGATCTACAAATAATACAGGAATAAAGAATTTAAAAAAAAATCATTATTTCATTTACCATAGAATATCACTGATGAAAAATGTTCAACTTTCGGAAAAGTACGTCATCCTCAGTTGACAAAGGTTGGGCATGGTTCGTATTATTGGGTAAGTGGTATAAAGGATATATATATATATATATATATATATATATATATATATATATATATATATATATATATATATATATATATATATATATCATTAAATTTATCTTTTAGCATGCTTTTTGGAATATTTTTTAACCATTGGTATGTTCAAAACCTTTGGATTATTCTTCGTGCAATACCAAAGAAAGTACTCAACTACTGCCTCCGTCCTCTCCCTGGTCCTGTCTGTACAAACCATTATAGCCAGTGTTAGCTGTAAGTATCACAATATATATCCTGATTATTATTATATACTCAAGAATTTGTTCCTTGAAGAAGAGAATAAGATGAAATATGACTATTTGAAATATCAAAATTTAGTTTTTCAATACGTTTTGATGCGTTTTAGCAAGACATCTAATTGTTAAGCATTATAAAAGCTGCGTGCTTAAATGCAAAAAAAAAAGTTATCAAACTTTAATTCTGTAGCTTTTCAAGAATTTCATACATTATAATTTCTAGTTATACATGTATTCATAGCCCAACTTTTCATTGTGCTCTCAATAAAAATTGTCAATTAGTATAATTATTATTTTATTAGTGTAATTTTTTGGCAATTATATTCCATTCATAGTGGTTTATGTGAACTTAAAATGTGAAATATCAATGATGAAATAGTTTTCCACAGTTTCCGATTATTCCATACTATAAAGGCTAATATATGTAATTATCATCAACGCAAGGGTTGAGATTCAACTTCGATTTTCATTCCTGTAAATATGTATGAACTTCTTTAGATGCTCTATAGATACCTCTTGAATAAAAGCATTCACTTAATTTTATCTATCGTAACTATAAATGAAACACGCTTCCGCATGAAATAATTTAGTGATCACCTTCAGTCACTTTACCTACACAAAGAAACAAATATCTGATCTTTTTGATAAAATGAAGTATCTTCAGGAAAAAAAAATCTATCCCTAAATCTAAACAGAAATAATTTGTAACTCTTCTGATTTTTCAGCCATTTTTATAATGGGTATTGGAACAACGTACTTTGGAGAGAGATTAATGGTTATTTGCGCGGCAATCCTTGGACTTGGCTCTAATTTAGGCAATGCATTTGCACCACAACCTTCTATTCTCTTCTTCACACAAAGCACCATCTATGGTATGGAAATATGATATAGCTCGCCTAGGTTACAGACTCAAATGAGTTTTTCTGCTTTATATCTGTTCGGTATATTACTATCTGCTTATCAACGTTTTCATTTGCCACACAAGTAGAAAGATTACTTGCCCATGGGCCATGGGCTTGGTAGCTCTTCTAATCAAAGTCTCAAAACAATGTATTCGGTGGTTCGTCTGCTTCTCTTAGAGTGTTTTAAACACTAATGCATCGAACTATTTTAGGTATAAACAAGCAGTTGTATTATAACATCAGAAAGGCCTGGCTTACAAAGAGAAAATATTATTTCAATTCAGAATCTATAAAGGCTAATGTTTCTTGAATTTAATATAAAATATAAATCCTAGGTACCCTTTAAGTCCTTTCACTCTTAAGTCATCTAAGCGCTACCATTATGATAGCTTGTTATTTGCCATGACTATCATATTGAATGTGATTATATTCATCATTCTTCCAGCACTTACATCAGAATCTGCTCATCTTTCTGCTATGTTAATACTTGGAAAATATTTTGAGAAACGGAGAGGAATGGCATATGCAGTTGCGAATTTCGGTGCAGGAATTGGTGGGTTGGTTTTACCACAGTTAGTGACGTATTTATTTAGTGAATATGGACTACGAAGTACCCTCATCATAATTGGTGGAATACACCTTCACCTCTTTCCTATTGGTCTTTTGATGCGACCAATTGAAAGAAAGACGAATAAATCACAAAATATTAATGAAATAGAAAACCATCGTTTGATAAAAGAAGAGGAGAGTCCAGATAGATTTTCTAAGTCAAAGAAAAGAAAACAACAAAATGGTGAACACAAAATGAGAGATGCTGTCACTGCCTCAAATGGCTCGCATTATAAACAGGAAGAGAAAAATGAAAATGCTATCACTTTGTTACCCCCAAAATCCGAAGAGGAACAAAATGTTCTTTCTTCAAACTTTATGTGTTCTGAAGACGAAACAGTGTCAATATCCACGGGAAAAAGTGACTTCAAGAATTCAAAACCAAATTTAGAAAATTACTCAAAACAAACTGAAAATAGAAAAGGTCTTTGCTTGCAGTTTCTGTTTAAAATATTTGACTTTTCTTTGTTCAGGAATGGAAAATTTAACCTGTTAATGACATCCTCGTTGCTCATCGCTGCTGCTTGCACTATTCCTGTAGCTTACATTCCACCTTTCGCCAAAGACCAAAAATTACAAAGTGATATGATCGGATACCTTGTGACATTCTCATCGGCCAGTGATTTAGTCGGTAGATTCCTATTTATATTCATAGCAGACAACAAGATAATCCAGAAGCATCATATGATGGCAATTGCGATGGTGGTCCATGGAATCGTGTGTTTAATGGCAGTGTTCTGTACTAGTTTTGTCTCTTTAGCTGTATTTAGCATTTTGGAGGCGGCATTAGGTGGAACGTATTATTCTTTGATAAACATTCTGTTGGTCGAGTTTATAGGATTAGACAGTCTGAATCACGGCCTAGCAGTAAATAGAATGACCAGAGGAATTTCTATAGCTATAACATCGACACTGATTGGTACGTTTATTATATTAATATGACCAGAACGAAAGTTGTTATTATAATTCTCTTATATAGATTAATATTAAATATAATTGCCAAATCAAGAAGAACAATCGCTAGAAAAAAGGCTCTTCTTCAAAGAAAACAAATGCATGTATATTACCTAAACCTTCAATCAAATAGCTTATTGATTTTTTTTAAATTTGTATTTTCTCTCTCTCTCTCTCTCTCTCTCTCTCTCTCTCTCTCTCTGTGTGTGTGTGTGTGTGTGTGTGTGTGTGTGTGTGTGTGTGTGTTTGTTAGTTGATTTTTTGGTCTCTTAGGCTTATGTTTAAAGGAATAATAATCTTTCTTAAGTTATTCAAACCCTAAAATTTAACTTGCATAATCTGCATTTAATTTCCAATGTCCATCTTTACTTTTTAGGTGTTTTACGTGACAACACAGGCTCATATGTCGGTGGATTTTACTTGATGGGGATATGCTCCATTGTAGGTGGTGCTATTTTGCTTTTCAAGCCTTTTGTGTCGAAAAGTGAAAATGTTTCATGAATTTTAGCAGACATATGCTGATCAATATTTAATTAACAAGCTATTTGTTCTGCTGAAATGAAATTCAGTTGGTTTTACGGGTATTTTATAATAAACACCAATATAGTAATTAAAGAAAACGTACACTGTATTGCTGGTATTGTTTTTTTTTAAATCGACGGTAAATCATTAAGATTTTAAATTGCTACTGAATAATCACTCAAACAAAACATATAATGAATTTTGCAATTTTATAATTACATGTATAGTTTTCACATTTATAATTAATATTTTCTTTTCTAGTATTTAGTTGCCCCCCTCTTACAGGAAAAACAGTCTTAATAATACTAAGATTGCTATGAATTAAGTTTTCAGAGAACGTTCTTGGAATTTGAGTACCATTCTCGCTGAAGTGTCTGACACGTGTCTTTGTGACCCTTGGCATGTTTTTACCAAAGTCTTCTTGTTCCATCGTAAATTTCACCTTAAATGTTTGAGTTTCAATCGGGAATGTTTCGTGTATGCATTGCATTTTGAGAAACTTGCTTGTGCTCAGCAAGAGATACTGAAAGAGTGATTGGATAGTAATTTCCAGAAAACAATTTGTATGTATTATTGAGAAGCATGTATAACTTAAAAAAGACAAGAGTTTCTCTGACCACATGTGTAATATATGCACCTCCGTTGCCCTGGGACATTCCTGATTATAACCCAAATAAAACATTTGGGGTCAAATAAAAGGACCGTACCCTTCACGAAACATGCCAACAATTTATAAATTTAATGTGTGTAGAAAGCATCTATCTAAAATGGTGCTCAATATGATGAAAAAAAGTTTCGTGAAATTGCATTAAGGCTGTTCTTCGTACAAAAGGGGAGCAACTAAGTACCCCAAAGTAAATTATCAATCGTGAATTTTAAAAGAGGAATTTTAAAATTACTCTATTTTAACAAATTTAAAATATGTAAAAATTATGGAACACTTCATTTGAACTTGGGGACAAAGTAGCCAAAGTGGGATCATCTGGCAACACTAGCAAAGTTAAATACTGTACAGTAGATCACCAAATTTTCACCTTATTTTCGCAAGATTTATGCTTGATATTTATAAGCAAGACAAAAAAATTGCGAATTTTGGTTACCGTTGATTATATTCTTACACGATATAAATATTCGCGAGGATAAAATTTTCGCGAGCAGACAATCCTGCATAATTAACCGAAAATAAATTGCAGTAATAACTTCCTCTGCATATGCACCAGAATGTCTACATCTCCTCTACATCTACATCTCCTCTATGTTTTTATATATTCATTCTTGAAAAAATAAATGAAAATTATTTTTATCTTATTTCTCAATAAAAGTTATGTAACTTTGTTGATATAACTTTAATCTTTTTAAAATACTGAATATTCTTTATACGAAGTATCAAAATCATAAAGTTTACAATCATATTGATATTCAATTTATACATGTATAAACGATCAACAAATCTCAGTTTTTTGGCTTAACTTGTAATGTCTAAATGTTATTTGCATTATATATATCTTACGAATGTAACATTTGTTCCATTACTAATATTTACTTTAAAAAAAAAAATAAAATTCTGATTAAAGTGTTTCTTTTTCGTTGAGTGTTTAAAATTCTGCAGTGCCTTTTGTTATAATAATATCTAGAATAATTACTAGTATCTGTCAGCATGGGCTGCTGAAAATTGTAACAAAATCTCTTACCTCTGCAAATACATTTTAACAGAATATTTTTTAGCTATAGAGGTTGAATAGGTAATTGTAACATTGACCTCACTCAATCACGCGATTCAAGCATTCTCGAATGACCATGAGGAAATCTGGAGGAGTCATTCACTGAAAACAGGAGCATTTGGATATTTTTAAGGACGGTTTTAAGTGTGCTGATTCATAATTACCAGTGGCGATTCCAACAAATTGTACAAGACCCACGTAAGTGTATAATTTATATATTTGTAAATCGGAATGAAAAGTGAATCTGTCACTGAAAAAAAAATCATATTCTAAAAATACAAAACAATAAACGTTGCTTTTACACATTTCCTCCCTCAAAAATAAGGTTTAAAAACTATGAATACTCAGTCTATGTATGTTGTGTTATATTATTTAACGATGTAATTGTGATTAAGGACAAAATTCTAGCCACTCACTCATCATTAACAATTCATTTCCCTCGTAATGCTAACGACTTCAACATAATTCTCCTTGTATTTCAGTGAGAGACGGATATGAATCATAATCGCCTATATTTTTCTTTTCATACTATATTATTACTAATTATATAGGTTTATTTTCACTGAAATCATACATATGTCGAACAACATCATAATATATGAGGTGACTATGAAATGCGAAAAATGAACAATTATACGTTAAATCTTTTGATTAAGTAAGGTTACTTCGTAAAATGGAACATATAGCCAATAAACGTTCAGGTCGAATAAAAGAGAAAACCTGGATCCATTCCCTGAAAACCTGTTTAAGTGTTTAATCAGTGTTTACAGCCGTGTAATGTGTGTGCATTTCAGCGCTTGATGCGTTATAAAATGTTGCCTAGAGGTCGCTCAGAATCGATGTCAACGTTCCCTTTTCAGTGTGTTAACTCTCATGGAAGTGGATTCCTTATCGCCAATGTTTGTATCTGGAGATACCGGTGTATAACAAACCGTTCAAGTCAAGGTTCTTCTTTATATGAGAGCAGGTAAGTGTCATTCCATTGAATATTTCTCATCCATCAAGGACATTGCGATTCATATTCATTTTGTTACGGTACACTAAAGATACTTTCAACACGCATGGTTCTTTGTAATGTATTTTTCTATTTACCTATAATTTTTAGAACATGCTTGAATGACCTTGACGTTTTTGAAAATATAGTCTTAGTTTTATCTTAATTCGGAAGTTGTGAACAGCTGTTTACATATTACATCATTTTCCATATTTATCAGGCATGTTCTAATGGCAACTTATTATTACCAATTAAATAGGCCGGGATTTCGGCAAATTATCCCACAGATCCATCTTTAAGTATAAAGTATTATTTCTCTAGCCATTATCTGTTATTTAGAAAGAAAAATAACATATCACATTTTTATGCAATTTTGTATTTTTTATATAAAACTTATTTTCCTGTATTTAAAAAAGTTGCTCATGACCACCGATCCCTCTTAAAGAAGTGATGTATTCGGAAAAGGGGTGGGGTGGGGAGTTTAAAGCTTATAAGTGATGAATACAGTGTTTGATGTAATTTTTGCAGATGACTACTTTCAATTTTCGGAAAAGTTCGTCGTCCTCTGTGGACAGAGGTTGGGCCTGGATCGTTCTTCTTGGTACGTAACATACGTGTGAATACTTGTTGGTCAAAGACTGAATATGGCTTTCTTTTAAAAATATGAAATGATAGCATACTTATAAATACTTAATGGTCAAGGACTGAAATAAGCTTTCTTTTGAAAAAAAATTATCCGTAGTTATTTATATTTGTTTTGTATTCAAGTAAAAAAGACATTTATATCCTGGATTGTACGTCTTTCCATTTCTGCATGATTTGTGACTTTTTTCTCCTTCAGTAAGTAAAGGAGAATACAATGTTTGCATGATTGTCAAAACATTTTGTTCATTTGTCTTCCTCCTCCTCCTCTTCCCCCCGACCACCCCCCCCAAAAATGCCTTCCTGGAATACTATTCTGCAAAATTGTGAAACTCACTTGATTTCGTATATGAATGCACGATATTGCTTTCATTCATTAATTTTATTGTCATTGATATTGCTTTGGAGGTCGATCAGGATATGAATTAATTATAAACAGAAGACGGGATAGTGAAGGTTAATGCACCCTGGGTTGGCTTTGATAATAACAGATTATAACATTTACGTGTCTCCCTCTGTGTTTAAATTGTAATTGTCAGATTTATTAAAAAGGAAAAATGAAATTAAATCTGCATATTTTGTTTGCATACCCTACAGCCAAACGAATTTTCCTCTCTCTTAAGTATTCAAGCTGGTTTTTGTTGATTTATCAAAGATTTGAATAGTAGGTACATCTGATATTAAACATAGTTTGTTATTTCTGATCATGTACAAATATTTTAAAATATATTTAATCTTCTCTTGTAGCCTGCTTTTTGGAGTATTTCATCATCCTAGGAATGTTTAAATCATTTGGACTATTTTTTGTACAATATCAAAAGAAATACGCGACCAGTGCTTCAATACTGTCTATGGTGCTCTCAGTTCAAACAATTGTAGCCAGTGTTAGCTGTAAGTAGTTCAGAGGTATTCTTAAACTCAGAATTACCATATTTGTTCCCCATAATTGAAAACTTGAAATATCTAATCTTACAATATATTAGTTATACCTTCTGCTGTATGTTTCCTTTGTAGCAATCATCATCATGGGTATCGGAACTCGATACTTAACAGAAAGGACTATGGTAATGTGTGCCGCAATCATAGGACTAGCGTGCCAGTTAGGAAATGCTTATGCACCGTTTGCAGAATTTTTGTTTTTCACGCATAGTGCTTTATTTGGTATGTTCACCACACAAGAAAGATTACTCGTATTATAAAAGATACTAGCATGGCATTTTTTTAAAATTATATCCTTGAAACACAATTGACAAAGTGAAACTGCTATAATATAGTGACTCTCTCATAGAAACTCATAGATGTTTAGCAAAAATTGCACTGGCCATAAAACTATTATGGTTATTATCATTAAAGAAACCTTTCAGATATATTTGCACTTCTGATATATATTCAGTGTAGCGATACATTTGGTTCCAATTGTTAATCACTACATAATTGTATATTTAAAAATTCATAATTCAATGTTCTTGATTTCTCATTTGTTAAATTGAAATCGCGACAAATGTCACTTTATCATTAGTACAGTGTATATCGTTATTTTTTGCACCTCATTCATTCTTTAAGAATTGGTACATAACTAAATTTCAAAATCGAATAAACCTTTTTAAACGTACTTAATATATTTTTCTCCTATTGCAGCTATATCAGCAATGTTTGCCCATCTGCCTTCAATGT